GAATGCTTGACATTCCTCATGCACACACGTATATGTGCACTTACAAACGCGCGCACACACACACACACACACACTTACACAGCCAGCAAATTGATTCCGACAGCTGAATATTTGACATCTGAGGACCCGAATAGATTCATATTCAGCAGCTCTGAGGCCTAAAAAATGAGCAGTTGGCCCTCAGCTGTTCACCCAGAACACTAATCTTAATGTTTAAACACATTCAATCAATCTGCAGATGGTACAGCATAGGCAGAGATGTTCACAGGTACAGTATGCACATTGGCAATTTAGCAAACAACATCAACATATTAGAGCTTGAATTCCAGAATTCTGCAAATGCTCTATTTATTGGTTTCCCATGACTATAACCCAATACCAACCTCCATCCAACCATTACCTATACGACCCCCATTCGGGGTTGTGAACGGGACAGGAACAGGCCTGGAGTCGATCCCAGCTTTCATTGGACAAGATGCAGGAACACCGTGGACTGGTTGTGTTTCAATCACAGAGCTGACACACAGAAACAGACAAACATTCATGCTCACACTCACACCTAGAAGCTAGGTAATCTAGATTTTAGGCTGATATCCAATTAACCTTACTATGGACTGTTGGTAGACTGGACCTGGAGAGAACCCAAGCATGAATGTGGAGACTTACCAAAAACAGCGGCTGCTCAACGAGACCTGAACCAGGAACCTTCTTGCTGCGAGGCAACAGCGCTTACCACTGCACCACCATGCAGCCCAGATAACAGATACATGAAAATGGCCTCAAAACTTTAATATATCTTCCAACATCCAAACTGTCTATCATGCGTCTTATCAGAAGTTGTGAAAAAAGGGCATAACTTCAATTATATTCATTGCTTTTGGATAATTTCAATATCAGATTTTCAAAATCAGGAGTATAGAAAGAAGTGTCATCAGCGTAACAGCTTGTTATTGGTGGAAAAACCTTGTTTCAAATGATTATGATTATGCACATTATTTAGAGTCTTGTAGGATAAATGTTAGTTAAAGATTACATTTGGAGATTGAAGAATTTAATGAAAAAGCTATAAGCACATACTAAAAATATCAAATCAAAAGAAAAATTATATTAGCAAATGAAAACAAAAGGTACAATTACAGGGTCAAAACAATTATTTAATGTTGTATATGTTGATGAAACAGAAGTAATTATTCACAACTTCTGAAATAATGCCAAAATAAACCCTGCTTATTAAAATATGACCTCTAAAAGAAAAGTATTTCACTACCATGAAGAAAGCATTAGCTGTTTTATCCTGCCCAGCACCCAGATGAGATTTGCCTTGCTATTAAAAAAGGACTGCTGGTTAAGTCATATTTAACACCTTTGCCAATTTCATATAACAGCATCTTTAGCTTCCATACATTTCCAAATGTATAATCAAGCTTGAATGTATTCAGGTCTACCAAATGTGTTCTGTAAAATTCTTCATGATCCTTTGAAGGCCAGGTAAATACAATCCTGGCAAACTCCAAGGCAAGGCGGACAGATAATTCCAGGCAAGCACAAGGGATCAAGTAAGGACTTTAGAGATGAAAATACAGGTGTGGGTGTTGGAAAAGAAATGGGATGAAAAGAGGTTGGCAAATTACAGTAACCATGTTGAATAAATTATCTAAATGTCATACTTTAGCCAGTGCTCACACATGACGATTCCACTTAATAGGGCTGGAAATCTCACCAGGAAAGTAATTACACATGGGTTCTTTCTAGTACAAAAATAACTAAGAAATTGTCATTATGCCTCATTGCAAATTTTCTCCATTCAGGAAATAACATTACTATCAAGTCTTGAATTACACGAAACCAAAAGAGCAATTTGTAAGACGATATTAGCCTCTTTTGAATCATATAAAAGGGAGAATCCCTCTTGCCCAGTGCTCATCTCTCTCTCTCTCTCTCTCTCTCTGTTGAATCACAGCTTAACTCCCTCAGTGAAAGTGATGGAAAGGATGAAATTGGCTACATTCGGGGACAAAAACTTATTCGAAATTCAGACAACTCTTCAAAGCCATTGGAGCGCCTTTGAGAGGACGGAAGACAAGAGGAGTCTCTTTCATCCGACTAAACGTCTTCGAGGTGAGCCTCAGATCCGACATTAAACAACAACAGCCGCAGAACTGGCACCATTCAGAGGGCTTTAATGGAGTCCGCCGCTGCATTTGTCTTTGAGAAACCAATATGTTTATGCTAATGCTCTGTGGCTGACTTTAATAGAGGATTCAAGTGAAACGGACAGACAGATATAGCTGCCTTCATAGATAGAATTCTGTATTATAAATCTGCTCTGTAAGAGTATATATATATATATATATATATATACTCTTATATATATGTTTCTTATTAGAGTGGAATCTATAAGTTAAATTAACCAATTATTCCCTACATTAACATACTTTTTAATCAGCTAAAACTTTTTCTTCCCTTGCCGACTCAACCTGCGAACTGAAAAAAAAAAGTTAGATTTGAAAAAGTTCTTCTATGATGGAATAAAGAAAAATACTATGCTTTTCAACTGATTGCAATAGTATAAAAAAAAGTTGGTTAGTTTGAGGTTTGTTTGCCCTAATCCCCATCTTCTTCTTCCCAACAGGCAGCAAGGAAAATTAATCTGAAACCTACTGTGCTCAAAGGCGTTTGCAGCTGAGACATCTCTCCTTTCTCTCACTGCCAGTGGCACTTTGGAAACACTCACCATCTCAGTGCTCCCATCTGCATGTGTGTCTGAATCTGCCACGTTCAGCAAGACAACTCCCAATGCACACACACACACACACACACACACACACACACACACACACACACACACACACACACACACACACACACACACACACACACACACACACACACACACACACACACACACACACACACACACACACAGACACAAACCTACCGAAAACAGCACTGCAATACTGAGGCCGAAGTAGTATCCCTTTGCTTTTTCTGATAATAAAAGAGTCCTTGGCTGCTTTTTCATTTCCAATCTTGGTGCTCTGCAGTGAAAATGCCATGAAATAGACCCCCAAGTCCGACCCCTGGTGTGATATGGAATAACCTGCAGAGAACATCAACTGCTGAATTTGATGTTCAATGCAGCTTTTTACTGCCTCTCTTCCAGGAAAAAGGGGGTAGGTAAGTGAAAATGTGAATGGTTGCATATTGAGACGCTTGGCACATTCATGCCTTCAAAAATGTGTGTTTGCAAAAATACATGCAAACACACACACGCACACACGTTCATACATGAACACACACACTGTGTTCGGAAGAAGTCTGTGTAAATCCCATATGTGCTTAATCCAGACACTTACAAGAGAGCGTGATTCATCCTCTATTACACTCGACTAATACAGCTGAGAGATGCATAGGGTGCAATCATTTCAGCAGGCGGGAAGCAACAAAATAACACCCATGAATCCTCTTTATGGGGGACTTCACTGAAGAGGGTGTGAAAGGTCAGGAATAAGCGCTTTGTACTTATTAGCCATTAAAACTTGGTGTCCTTTTGCAGTATCCACAATTTGTGTGCTTGTAATTGTTGTGGGTTTCTTTATGAGTGTGCATTACTGTGTCTGTGAATGTGTGCAAAGATAACAGAGGTTTGCATCCGGTTTATGGGAAACATTTCACTGTGGGTTCTTACAGGTCTCAGGCTTATAAACTGTTTATTATGCAGAGCTTACAGTCTTTTCTGCAGATCACATTAGTCTCAGGCTAGTTTCTTTCAGATAGTGGGGCTTGAGGGCGATGATAGTTGAAAGTCCTGTTTTAAAAATCTTCATTCTTAAAGGTATATTGCCTAGAGAAATGTATCCCACTGGTTATCGCTGCAGGATTCAATTTCAAAAAGAATTCCAAGTGGAGTCAGTATCGATGCCCTGTTAGGGTCTTGTTTTGTGTGTGTGTATTTCTTTAACCATACTATATTCAACACTTACCATTGATGCCATTTTCACTGTTTCTGTTACCAAAATGTGCTGGTGTGCTACATTACTATGCATTTCCCTCATTTTGATTTGTAAACCTACCATAATGAACATTTTCACCAATGAAAAGGTAATTAGGTGCAAAGCAAGGTGCAGTCTGTTGCCAATTACTGTGAAAAGTGCTTCTCTGATTTGTAGGTACAAACTTTATGTTGGGTGCGATTATGCTGTACTACTCAAGGCTCATATAATCAGGTGTGTTTTCTAACAGCTGAAATTACTGTACTGTATGAGCTGGAGGCAGTTAGCTAAGAACCACAGCAAGGTTATTTGCACGGCAGGAGGTGGAGGGGTGACTTTCAAAGTATGATTATATGAAACACCAGCTTCTAACAATGAAGTATAACAAATCTAATCAAATCCACCACTCCATGTCTAGGGGATGCAGTAAAACATATTCAAGGTTTGCACCGACCGCTTTGAGATTACGAGAGATCAACTACAACAAAAATGAAATTTACTACATACAAACAGAGTAGCATACTCCTCCTGAAATGTAGGCTGATTTTTGAAGCTGTTTCTACTTTCAACTACTTCTACTTTGTGTGTGTGTGTGTGTGTGTGTGTGTGTGTGTGCGTGTTGAGGGGTGAGGTACATAGTAATTAACAATAGGAGCCATATACTATTCATCCAAAGCCTTAAAAGTGTGTATCATCCTCTGTGTACTGTGAATGCACTTGCTGTAAAAACACACACACACACACACACACACATAGAAAGTGGGACAGGTGCGCTGACATCACAAAGACAGCAGCTTATTCAAGTGACAAACACAGGGGAGTAAGGAGGGAGCTTTCAGGTTGCTCTCCAAACTAAAATATACAAAAATAAAAACCTTCCCATCTTTGTGTGTTTTGTGCATTTCGTCAAGCCCACTGCAAACCTAAAACAGGGAATACTTTGTAAGACTGCATCTGTTGTGTGGCTTCTGCTGTCTGTCAGTCAGTCAGTCTGTCTGTCTGTCTTACCTTTCTTGTCCCCAAAAAAGAGGGTCTGCTGTGCTGGGTTTGACCACTGGAGGGAGGTGTTGTCATTGTACGCTACACGGCAGGTCATGTTCGCCGTCCCACCCTCTGTCACCGTCATATTCTGAACCAGGGGGTACTGACCGCTGACACCTGCAACGTGACACACACAGGAAATACATGTTAGAGGAGATGAGGCTGTATCGGGAGGTGGGGAAGAGAGAGAAGGATAGCAGAGAAAGCGAGGGAGACAGATGGCACTTTTTGGATTGCTTGATTTGTTAATTAAATTCACTTAATTAATTTTAAAATCCAGTAAAAAAAAAAAAAAGGATGGTTTAAAACTATAACTATGAAGGCGGGCTACAGAAATGATATTTTCTGCCGGCTGGTTATAACGTATGTGACATATAGGCTATAATTTAAAGGCTCAAATCAGCACTTCACCACAAAAATATCACATTTTCATCTCTGTACAAAATGTAACATCTCAATTAAAAACTAATGTTCAGGAAGGATGTATAGCCATAACTCCATGCTAAATTATTCCCCAATAAAGACCACACAGGGGGGGACTTAGCTGACAGTTCTCTGAACCTCAGTGACAAAGGGAAGACCAATTAAAACACATTCATCCCCAATGGACTGTGCATGTGTGGATGAATGTACGTGTCATGCCTTCATCCGCTGAGAGAAACAAGAAAAAGACAAAGTTATATTATTCCGTGTTGTCCAGCAGAGCTAGTTTTCAGCACCACGGACAGCTCCTCAGTAGCTGCCAGCCTGTTTTCAGTACCCTGGACAGCTCTAACTGTTATGGTTTTATGTGTGTTTGCTTTAATGTGTGTGAGAGAAGCTGTAAGCAAGTAAAAAAATAATAACCATAAATCTATCTCTGTCCTCATCCCCAGAGGAAAGGTTTTAAAGACTGTGTAAATAAAGGCTTAGGTAAGAAAGATTATTCATCCACAGCTAACTCTCTCATCTTAAACCACCACCACCCCCCTCAGGACAGGATCATAAACTGAAAAAAAAGAAAGAAAGAGAGAAAGCAAATAAAGAAAAGAAGGAATATTTAGAAATAAGGAGTCCATAAATTCTGTGTGATTCATTTGACACCTTCACGCTAATGCGTTTGATCATATTCAGTAGGCAATTTGGTGTTTTCCTTTCCCCCAGTTAATGACTGCACAGGTAAGATAAACAAACGCTCAAACAGCAGCTTGTCTGCAGGGTGAGCAGGTGAGGCAAGCCACATCACTCACAGCGCCGCGGTGAAGGACGTGTTGAGAGGAGAGAGGATGAGGTGAAGGAGGGGAAGGAGAGGTGCAGAGAGGTAAGTCAAGGAGCACGGGTCATTTCCAGTGTTGATTAAGGCCTCCCGAGGTTAATCATGCGTGCGAGAGATAGAGAGGGAAAGAGGAGGGAAACAGAAGAAAAAATGGATCCCAGCAACGGGAGGCTTGGAATATGTTTTATTCATGAGAGTTTTGCATGAGGCATGATCTGCCAACGATTTACCGTTCTCCTGTGCCCGCCCTCCCTTGCTTTATCACTTCCTCTCTTTAAATCACTTACATTTTCTCATTTTTCCTGCTCACGCAGTCGGGTGACACGCAACCACACTGTGATACATTTCACTTTTTGTGGGCGGCCACAAAGAGAAGTTAATGGTTAACTGCCAAGCCGAAACAGTGGCGATGATTTTTTTTGTGAGTGAAGTTCTGCACAGAGTGACGATATGAGAGTATAATTTCAGTTCATTACTGCAGTAAGATGTGTCACTCTCGAGGGAAATGCTCACTTGTTGTCAGTTCTAAACTCATCCCTGGCAACATAATCTGCTAGTTTGTTCTCCAAATGATATGCTTCTGACGAATGAGAAAACATGACATTTGTGATGGGCAACGTGTCCCTTTGGGGAACATGGATGCTTCTACAATGCATAACCCATCCTGATTTTCACTCAGGGCTATGATACATGAACACAAGACAATGCAATCACATTTAAGTTATAGCACATAAATAAAAAATTGAGTACAAATGTATTTTGAGAAATGTTTCTTATAGTTCTACAATGTCTAAGATTTAAGAAATGAATTGGTGCTATGCAGCAAATCAGGCAGAGCCGATACGAACGCTGATCCAGATCCAGATTCTCTCCAGTACTGTTTCCTCCAATATTACTGTAAATGATGGTACAAATTGGATGATCTGAACTCTGTTCTTCTGTGCAACTCCAACACAGCAAGCAGCTGCAGAGCTAGCAATACCTGTAATGTTACTCATAGCTTCCGTTAAGCAGTTTCATCTTGTTTGTTTTAGGTCGTATTCTCGTTTTAGAATAGCATTCTTCTCTTCTGTTTGTCATTACTGAGTTTTGAAACAGGAGACAATTAGGAGGTTCCCCTACTCTCAAAATCAAACTGACCCATTTTTTTTTACACTGGTAATAAATCACGGAATGAAGCAGCTTTTCTTTGAAATCTGTGTCTTTCCAACGCTCTTAAGCATACACAAAGTGAGAGACGTGTGGAAAATATTTTCCTTAAGGAATTTCTATTTATTTCTAGATCTGTTTATATTAATAAAATTCAGGAGTTGTGTCAGAATGTCTTTAAAATCAACAATTTCACTGTTAAAAGTTTATCACAAAGCACATCTGGGGGGGGACTTTTCATGAATTTGCTTTAAAGTTTACGAAACAGTACACAGATGCTTCACGATATCAAAGCTTCATTTTGCCTTTCTTTTCTCCTCTCTCCAGCGGAATTAGCGCCTACACAGAGTTACAATAGTCCGGGGATCCCTCTTCTTGAACCCTGCGTCAGTGGCTGCTGCTACAAGTCCAGGGGGACTGATAGGGCCGAAGGGGCCACAATGATGGTTCTATTAGAACAGTGCAGAGCTCTGTGCGCCTAATTGGCCGGTAGAGTAGGTTCTCCCCTCTGGCCACCCAGACCTGATTTTAATGTATCTCTTGAGGGAAGGAGGCAGCTGTTCTCTTCTGATTTCCATGTCTATATTTAGGTTCCTTCCCTCACTTCAACTCCTACTTTCTTGCTCCAGCTTTTCCAGTTCACATCCAATCCACTCAATCCCCCACCCCCCTCTCTCCTTCCGTCATATTTCCTCCTCGGGTTGATCCCTGAAGGGTGGCATTTCTACTCTCTTTGTCTCTCATTTTCATATTCTCTCTGTGCTTCTCACTCTTTATCTTGATCCTACCTCCTCTATTGCGCTCAATTGTGCTCTATATCTCATGGAGAGCCGGGTCACTTTAATTGCCCTCTACTTTGACTGACAAGCCAAGGCTAAGCCAGGTCAACAACATCCTCATCTGCACGCCATTACGATATAATGACATAATGAAATTAGCTTTGCTTGATTTAGCCTGAATTGGATAATATATATGTCACCGTAAATGGCTTATTCTATAGGGACTTGATTCATTCGGGATGGTGCAATGTGGTTTACAGCTGCGTCTAAACAAATAGCAAATCATTATTTCCTCTAGAGACACTGAACCAGAGCACATTCTCATACTCTCCTCTCTGCACAGCTGTCTCCCTAGATGAGCTGAATCTTAAGTTTTAATGGGACCACTCCACAGCCTCCCTCCACCAGTGTATGCATCAGCTAATAATCAAGCTGGCTGCAAAGGTTCCCTACAATTATTTGGACTTGTGCCTGTGAACACACAATGTGCTGCATCCAATTAAAAGGAAAAAAAAACAAAACCTAAATATTACATGAAATATGAAGAAATGCGTGCCAGAGTGGACAGTAGAGATATTCAAAATAACACCTACAAACACACAGTACCAGTTTCCAGAGCTAACTACCACACAAATAACGCAGATAAGACCATCCTGGATGCTCTGTGTCTGCTCTCCGACATGACCTTTCAAGAAAGAGCAGCTGAGTCTACTAACCTTTCTTATTTAGGCATTCAAGGAGCGGAGAAAAAGAGGGAGATGCAGGCAGACAGACGGACAGCCTGGAGCTACTGACCTTTACACCAGGACTGGAGCTCTACTGAGCTCAAGAGCTGTGATGTATGGTCAGGAATACAAGATTACAAAAACAGATAGAGGGAGGCCACAACTCTGATTAGCCGATTCACCTTTTAAGCCAGGTGGGCATTCTTTATGAATGCAGACTGGGGATTTCATTACCATTCATTAAATTTATAGATTTGTTTTCACACTGCAATAATTTCTATGAGTTATGAAATCACCAAAGGAAGAGTGTGCTAAAACAGCTAACCTAAAAGACAGTGTAATGTTGGTAATTATGTACCATTGCTAGTAGGTTTGTGCTTTTTTTCTCTGTTTTATCTCTGTTTATTTCTCCCTATCTTAACTGGTTTCCTTTCAAAAGCCTCCTGTGGACAGGTGTTGAGAACTAGCATGCTTGCTAAAACACTTAAACAATACAGCTGGTTCGTCTAATGTATCTGTGATGTCCATGCCAAATAAAGTCTATTATTATTTAACTTAGGCAAGTAGATGATTTCAATATTAAAACAAAAAGAACGAACACAGACTGATGTGACAAATTGACATGATACTCTAGTTAGCCTTCATTTTGTCTAACAAATAAATTAGGCTAACCTCCTTTGTTTAGCAGTAGCAGTGCTACAGTAAAAGTAGCAGAGCAGTCCATGTAAATACTTGCTGTTGAGTTTATACAAGTGTCAGTAAAAAAACAATCCTAAGCACTAGCACCCTCAAAGACCCTGACACAGAATACAGCAGGAGCTCATGAGGAGGTGTAGAAGATTACATAGGAAGTGACAGCTTTGCCATGACCAGTTAGTGTCTGCTAGGTTACCCAGGTGGATACACAGTTAGACACACAAGCTCCTCATACTGAGTGATTCTTAGTGATTGTCAAGCAGCAAGGAGAGACCGCACAAGGTCAAGAGTTCGATCATCTCAATCACAACTCATCAAGTTGCCATCAATGAACTCTGGCAGAGGGTCCTTGGGCAAAACAAATGTACCAGTTTAAGAGCCCACGCACAAGGTTAAAACTGCCAATGAAAATAGTCAGAGCTACTGTTACTTTCAGGCAGGGATGATTATATTCTTCTGGGTAACAACCCACTTTAGCAGATCATATGGATCACAAAATGTTGTGTTAGCAGC